CATCTGTGCTTGCCTTTCGTCTACACGCTCAATGCTCAGGAGTCAGGTAGTAAACATAATGCTTAATTAAAACTGGATTTGGACTATTATTACTAATGATAATGGTAGTTTACACAGAAAAATCCTTACGTCTCGAAATGGCCTGTTCGTATTCGACCTGTGTTACCAGGTAAGCATTAAATGTTGAATTACGAAACGAAATAAACATGGATAATAAATATTTAAGTAAAAAAACTAATACAGGCTAATCTTGTCCATTTTTGCGTTGCTGCAGTAATGCTTAGTAAAATTATAGTGACTCCATGTAAGCCCTGTCTTTTCATCGAACACAAACATAAACCGAAGAGAGAGAAAAACACAATAATTGAGTGCAATTCGGTTTATTTATTAAAGTGTAGTCTGTGAAGTGTCTCTTCTATACTATTTAGATACTTTTATGTATTACAATGTAGCGTCAGAGCTTATATTAAGATAAAAAGGTTTATTACCTTAATCAATCCGTTTAATGCGTTATGTGTTCGAACCCCAACTGTAAAACACTTGCTCATATGAGGAAAATAAAGTGTGGTTTACATAACAATCAAGAATCAACGTGTGTTAGGTACAGAAGGCCTAAGTACCTGGCTTTCTGAGCCACAAATCTAAAGCTCTGTTATTCTGATGTTACATGTATAGATTCAAGGTTATTGACTTACGCCCGAACCCAATAACCTATCTCAATCCATCATCCACCATCTGAGATAGTAATCTTAATCCAAATGTTGTAACAAGCGTGCCAATAACCAATCAACGGAATGTAATAGCCATCTGTAGATACTAGCTATCCATGGGAGGTCGTATCGGTGTCTGTGGATAGACCTTTGTATGAAAATGACAGTTGACGAAAGCTCGATTTCAACAGTTAATTATTTTAACAGATTTTAACCTACACCGGTTTTTAAATAATTAAAAAAAATTTTTGTTATGTTTTAAACATTCACATTTATATTTTAATGTTATTTGTGTGGTTTTCTTTACTTTATTTGGTTTACATTGATTATCAAATATGAGTGAAAACTCGGTAAAACGACAAAGAGCATTTTATCCGTCGCCAAAACTGGATTGTCTTCGTAAGGTTTGGTTATTAGGTTTGGATAGGAGATCGATCGACTGTCACGGTCTGATCTCAGATTGTTTTCAATCTGAGATTGTGGATTGATTATTGGGTTTGGGCGTTATAGCGTCTCGGTTTTGTGCTGTTGCCTTCTATAACCACGGATCTGGAACCTCACCGTAAAACCGCTGTTCTTCATAAGTATGACACCCGTATGTCAAACACGTATCTAATATGACATATGAAAATCGTATTTAGAGTTAAGTCCTGACTGAATATTACCCTCAGAGACAAGATCTTACGTCTTGTGTTATGATCCTTTGGTTAAAGGAAACAAATTTTATACTCTCCCTCCAGGTGTCCTGTTCAAATTGCGACTGAGCACCAATCGATTAATCTTTTCTAGATGGTAAATCAGCACTGGTTACGATAAAGGTTAACCAAAATTAAAATTGAAGACGTGTGTCAGGCATTTACAAACCTTTACTGGGTGGAATTTATGCAAATTATTATTTATTTAGATATACAATATAAACCTGGCTTTACGTTTAATTTATTCATCACCTATATTTCAAGGGATAGGGATTATGGGGTATTTTTGACGTTTTCGTATAGAGACTCCAAAATCGAGAAGATAAAAAATCTTTCAAATTCAGAGTATGAAGATTAAAATTTTTTTTTCAACGCCCGCCAAAACGGTGACACCTAGTGAGATCAAATTTGCTGCGTTAGGTCAAGAACTGGTGGCAATTTGACGGAGTGGAAGTTTTAGTCCAAAAGAACCAAAAACAAGATAGCCGATGGTCAAAATCGCTGTTTGTGGACCATTATGGCTAAAATTATGCATGGCTTCTTCTATTCCTTCGGACAGCACATCAGCGAAACTTGTATCAGCGTCTCCATCAAAATGTTGAGGGCCTGCAGACACGGTACGCAAAAAGAGAAAGGCTGCTCGAACAAGCTTCGATTAGTAGTCAGGTGGTAGTATGGCGTTCCATTTTTGAATATTTGGAATTTTAGCCAAATTATAAACCGAATTGTTTGGAGTATGACGAAAAAACATGAGTATGGTTTTAAACTCCCACTGGGTCGAGGATATAGGAACCATTTATGAAATCTGTAACTCTCCGTCTGCTTCCCTGGAGACGCCAAAAGTACCTTGAGCAATTGATAGGGTAGTGAAAATGGCCGAAAAAAAGATGACAAGTGCAAATTTGGTGTTTCTACCGCGATCGAGTTCAAAATTGAGACACTATTTCCGCAGTCATCCATTTGTGGCACAAAAATTTGCCAAGGTGTTTTTACGGTAGAGATGAAAATCCTCCAAACATATTTTTCACAGAAGTGCTCTTTCGTCTCTTTCTCTCAAATTGTGTTTACGCCGTGTTGAAAAGAGGCAGTTGAGTACCTTAGTTTCAATAGTGCTATTAGACCTGTTTACTTGTTTAGTTTAACAATAACTTTTAAAATATAAGGCTATGTTCAGATGGCAAAAATTTGACGCGCGTTTTCAAATCGCGCGACTAGACATTGTGGTATTTTCATACAACTGTTCACATGAGCGCACGTTAACGCGCGTCAGCGAGCGTTAACGCAGCGCTCAGAGAAAAAGTCTCTAGACGCAGGTGATCGCGCGTTGACGCGCGCTTTGACATGTATGTAACGTCCGAAGACTGTTCAGTTGAGCACGCGCTTTCATCGCGATTGTACGATTATTTTTGTGACTTGCGTCGTAATCAGTTCAAAATGAGTGAATCACAAGATATTGAAATTGATGAAGTCCGGAAAAGGCCAGCCATTTGGGATATAACTTCAGAATCCTATAAAAATAAAATTATAAAACGACGTGCTTGGGAAGAATTGGTTTTAATTTTCTGTAATGATACCGACTCTCAAGAAGACTTTTTTGTAATATAACCACAAAATAATAGCTTCTTCCACGTCCATTTTTTAAGCTCTATCGAAACAGACTGACGAGCTCTCACAATTCGCAACGCGCGTTAGCGCTTGTCATCTGAACTCTTTATAAATTTGATCGCGCGTTGACCTGCGTTAACGCGCGTTACATGTGAACTTAGCCTAAGGATTATAGAACGTTTATCAGGCTTTGTTTAAGGTTTAAGAAATAATTCAAAACAATTGTATGAAAGAACACATTTATTTATCTCTTATTGCGTATTATCCTATATTTATATTACATAACCTTAATTTACGGAATCTACATTTAATCAAGTATTGGCAATTTTTAAGTTCGGGTAGCTGTGATAAAATTAAATGTAAAAAACGTATTAAATAAGTAAATCTCAATCATTACTTTACTATTTACAATTATTACTAATATATTCTTAATTAAGTACATAAAAGTTAAATAAAATTCTTTTAATACAATTGGCAGAGAATATAAATTGTTTTACAAAGTTGTGAATACAATTGTTTAAATAAGATTTAATTGTCAACACATATTTAAATAGCTATTGTAATTACTACCAATCGTTTAGTTTTTCTAGTGAAGGGCCGTTTAAAGACATTCCTCATTTAGTACTAGAAAACCCCACCCACCCCGTTATTCAATAATATTGATATCGAAGATTCTACACACCGTGGGGTTTTCTAGGTTTCTTGTCAACTTCCTGGGTTTTGTTCAAATGTCTTATAAAGTAATACAAGAGTTACAAGACAAAGGCTGATTATTAGTCATAAAGTCGCGTTATATAAGTTTTGAATTAAATTAGAATTAATGTTCATGTGTTTTGCTTGCGCGTGAAATAAATGAATATTAAGTTTTGATAATAAAAACACAAGTATAATTAAATTTCATAGAATTGTACTCACAACTTGTCTTGTAAGGAAAGCAAAGAATATTCCATTTATAATAGCTCTACCTTATCTAATTTATTTTAAAAATATGGCATTTTATTAATAAATAAAGACACATGTTATATACAATATTTACAATGTTATATAAACCGTTTTCTTCAGAGACATATAACCGTACTAAGAGTGTTTTTCATTTTTTAGGTTAATTAAACAACAAAGATTACTAGGCCATTTAGAAAGATTTAAATAAAATCCCCATAGACACAATTGGAAAACGAAGGTTTTTACCACCCTTAAATCAGTCGTTAACTGATCATTAAATATCGTTATTTCGTAATTATTATCTATAACTACAGATTAAACTGACGACGCTGAGTACGGCCATTAGAAGAATAATCTCTTGTTAGGCCGATTCGTCTCAGCTGTCTTTCTGAGACACAACTATCACAAACATATCGTGTTAACTGTACAGTTTAACGGCACATAGTCCAATTCCCTGTTGTCAAATTAATATATTCTTTACAATATTGAGTAGCTTTTACTTGCGGTAAATTAAAACTTCCATATCCACACAAGTTTTACACAAGAACTCCATAACCATCTTTATAAAGTAATTCATTATAAATGATTCGACAGCATATGTGTGATAGCATAACAACCTTGTTATAGGACTTTAAGAAAAGTCTCAAAAGAAAACAATTAAGTCAAATGAAATCATCACATATAAACAAATAAATTAACCTATATTGGTTGAAATACCGTGACTATCAAACACTGACAACTCAATTAAACTAGCAGAGAAGATCGCTATTGTAGCATACACTACCCGTTGTATACAGTATTTACAATATAATAAAAATAATATCAGTTTATTAACATAATTGTTCACAGTATTTTTCTTTGTCAATTCATCAATACATTTCAGTCGTATATAATTTTAGATCAAAGCATTAAATAGAAAGACTAATAAGCTCCATAGATAATGAATAGTCAACATGCTCAAAAATAAAGTGATTTTTGCCAAAGATTTGGGAAATAAAATATAAAATCACATAAGTTTTAGAAATGTTCAGCATTCACACGCATATCACTAAACCATTTGCAGGCCTTTACTAAGGCTTTCCACATGTTCCTTGGCCTTCATTCTCAGCGCTGCGATGGAGGATGATCGCGGGTCGCCTGGGGCTGGTGGCGCAGGGACCGATGGCGCTGGTGGAGTTAGGTAGCTTGGGTATCCTGATGGTGGATGACTCAGAAAACCTGGAATGAAATATATCATTAGACACTCGTATTGTTGTGTACTAAACTCTCTTCGTTCTTTCTCCTATCAGAGGAACGCGTTTTGGCCAAAACTCTCAGTTATCAAGTTTGATCATTCTGATAAACAAGCTAGGTCTGGATATCTATAGTTGCTCCTCTCACACTTTGAAATCAATTTTCCTTTAGTTTTTATTATTTATGAATCGATGTATTTTCTCATCGTGTTTGTTATGTTTGCTTATAAGTGCTTGTCACATTAAATTTTTTATTTATCAAAGTAACAATGTGCCGAACATTAGCAAGCTTTTGTAAAAAAATTAAATAAATAATTGAGAAGCTATATCACTCATAAGTATAAATACTTTATTGTTTAATATATACCTACGTTCCGTGTACGGTGTTAATGTATATTTTGCTTAATTCAATACATTTGATGATATGACTTGAATAGTATAATATCTGATCTATGGTTGGAAGCCTTTTGACACGTAATAACAGGTACGCCTTGCGTCAATTACAACACACTCGCAAAAACATATAAACTCCTATCGGGCTGAAATGGAAAGGTACTAATAGAACAAGTACCTGGCAGAGCAGTAAGCAAGGGTGGGGCGAGCCAAGGATCAACAGGCAAGCCAAGGGCTGACAGACGGGGTACTGGTGCACAGCCGTATTCTGACAATCCGAGGCGAGCCGCCTCCATTTTCTCCTGCCGACGCCACTTGGCACGACGATTCTGGAACCACACCTGAAAAGCATAGAACACTTATTACCAACAATTTTCTTACCAAGTGACTAAAACGTAAGAAACTTAGACCCGTCGAGTGAGACCAATTTAAATGAAATTTTGTGACTTCTTACAAGCCTCAATGTATTCGTAATGTCTTTACATAGCGAAATAACACCGACGAACCGCAATTTAAATCACAAACTTTACCAACAATAAAAAGCAAATTAATGAGGTGAGTCGTTGGAAATTGATGTGCCATCTATTTGCCCATTATACTATGAAACTTTAGCCCCAACCGTAAAACTAGAGTTTCGTTCACAATAAATCAGCCGCCAAACACGTCCCTAAACCGTATCAGACTAGACACAACAAAACTTTGAACTCAATCATATAAATGTCCTGTTTTCGTATATTTATTTTGCGCGCTATAACACCATAAATATCTACTTTACCCCTAAGAGTATAAGGTTTAAATTTAATAAGTGACGCTAAGGAATAAATTTGGTGTCGAATTGTAGTGTCAAATGATATATTCATGGGGTGAAGGTAAAAATACGAAGCTCGCGTGACTTCTACGATTTGTGCGGAGAACGTTACACGACTCTTGATGGCATTTCTGCCAAACTTATTAAACTTGGTTAAACGTTACATCGATTTTGAATTGACGACTATAAAGACATGAAAATACCTATAGTAACGCTGTTATCACCATAGGTACTTTGTTAACTCTTTTAGCGAAAGTAATTTATCATTGCTAAAAGTTAGTTTCTTCTTCTAAATGTCTAAAACTAAGTTTACTAGTGACGTTCCGAAGATTCGCAAATGACTTGTTATTTTTGACAATGGCATTTAATTTAAATCGGATTATTGAGTATGAAAGTTTGTCAAAAGTCGTGTCGTATGTGGGGGACCCATGAGATATGGTGTCGGCTCGAGACGTCGTCTGCTACCCATATAATAGGCGAACGTAGGGCATAGAACAAATCATAGAAAATGGTTTAATAGCTAAAACCGTTCCTTTAAGAATAGTGCAGACGAGCTGTAGAGTTTGTTTCTTTAATTATTATTTGTTGAATTATTGCAGGCGATTCTATTCTTATTATTTGTATGCGTAACGTAACAACTAGGTATGTCATAGTAACTTACTTAGTAAAGCACCATTTGCTCGCGTATACCCGAAATAATATTAATATCTCAGGCTGACCTTTCTGATCGCATTATCTATAATTTCTTACAGGGTTTAAGTTTAAAAAAAATACGGACATGCGTGTACTTTGTTTAATTTTTGTATATTAAGTTCTTTATTGCATTTTCATTAAAAAGTACTGTAAGAAAAGAAAATAAATAAATATTTGAACAGTTAAAAGGTTTCAGATGTCCTTAATAGCAAATAATAAATAAACGATAAAAGCTCGTAAGTTAATATAAATAAAGCCTACCCTTTACCCCACTCTATCTTAGATCTAACCTAGAACATGATTACCCAAATAATAAAGTCCGAATAACCCATATAATTCGTAGCAATTAAAATTTACAACAAAGTGAAACATTAAAGTAATAAGGCACGCATTAAATGTCGTTGTTTTCGTGCAGGTGGAGCGATACGCAATCATTTCGGAAATCTAATTATAACTGAACAAACGTCAACAAATAACGCTGTTTTGGTAATTAATAATAATAAAATGTTACCAAAACTAGCCAACGTAGGGCTGTAACTTCGGTAGACATGCGATGTTCTAGGTGTTTTATACACGCATTTTAATACGATGCTATTTAAAGATTTGACGATTTTTAATCTATGGAGATGATTCAACAATTATTTATGGTTTTATTCAGAAACCATACGATTATCTTTTTGGGCTATTGGAAGAAAATGTCCCCATGCTTAGTAAGAATTAAGAACCAAATTCACATTAATATTAATCCACGTTTTTTTCTATTAATAATGAAATATTACAATATAATAAACAAAGTATGGTATTTTAACGTAGTACAACTCACCTTTATAATAAAAACTTTCCGTTTATTACATTTGCACTTTATTCCAAACACAATTGGATAAAATGTTCGATTTAAAATTAAAACAAAAAAGGATTATCGAAAACATAACAATAACAAAAATCTATCGAGCCGCGGGGAATCTCTTGTTACTTTCTTATTACACGCTGATTGAATAAAAACGTCACAATAAAACCAACTCTCGAGCCCGCCCGCGCCAACTGTCAGATAAAAAACAACAATGGCGCCCGAATATGACATCTGTCAGATTTGAATTCGGAGCGCGACACGATTGGCCGCCGCCACGCCGCGATGTTTGTTATAGGATTGGACGTAATTGAGTTATCTGGCACTGTGGAGTCTTTTAGCGTTAATTGTGTAACAAATTGACTCGACATGTGTTGTGATGTAAACGCGTTAGCCGTAATTGTAAACGAAATAACAGCTTTGAGCTTGAGATTGTCGTATAATTGTATTTGCAATCATTTACTCGTAATTTGGAGATTTTTAATTTGTCGTGAATATTTTTTTTATTTTTAAAACTGTGGTTTTTAAAAGGTTTTTGTGTAAAGCAACTATACATTTGACGAATTTTAGGTCTCATAGGACTTAGTTACTTATACATACCATTACATCCCTTGAGCAACGCGTGTCGTCAACATACTTAAATTCATGTAATAGTCCCTAAGGCACACTTAGGTTTTTTTTTTACTACAAATAATTACCTGTTATGAAATTTTGAAGCTAACGTTTGTATGAAATTTACTCTTATAATAAACGTACCATTAAAATCAATTATACCATTATAATAAATTAATGTACATTTAAATAAATTAAAAGAATGTCCGTCTCCGTGTTGCGACTGGGTTCAATGTGTGTAAAAAGAAATTATCAATGATACATACACACCATATGAACTCAGAAGAGTCGAAGAAGGAATTATGTAGCTAAAATGTCCAGAAATATGCAAAAATTTCATATAACATATACCTATAAAGCATATAAATAAAATACTGATTTAAAATTATTGAATTAATTAATTATATTTTTTAAAACTACGTACATACTAATTTGAATAAAAACCTTTTGGTTTGATTTGAATACCTACCAATTTAAGCATACATTTAGTTTAGTACTTATAAAAATATTCTTTAATAAGATCTCTTCCGGTATAACTATCTTATACCGGACTATATTTTATTATCTAAACTCAAAGTCCTAAAAGCAATTTCATATTGTGGATGTATCAATGGTGACGATGACGTGTCAGGAAGTCAGCCTTCCGATGCAATCATCTCGAGACACATCCGAAAGATCTACACCGTGTAAATAAGGTAAAAGATTTGCTCTGTCTCGTGTATATACCTACCCCTAATTCATAACTACCGGTTCCACTTTAAAATATTATAGAAAATATGATATGTTAAAAGAGGTCCAGTAGTTTTTGAGTTTTTGTAACAAACGTACAAAAATACAAACTTTCCTTTGTATTATATGATATATATTATGTATATCATTATTATTAATGTCATTAGAAAACTAATTAAACGCTATTTGAACTAAGTAATTATTTTCTTACTGTAAAGATTATACTGTAATGAAATGTGCTTGAGTTAAATAATATGCTTACCTCTTATGGATAATGAGGATACTGTATATCTTTTATAACAGGTCTTTTTAACCGTTTTCTTCTCTTAAATTAAGTTCCGAAAAGGCAAAAAAAAATTACTGCCTTAAAATCTAAATAAGCTACTTAATAACTTGTTTATACTCGTTATTTTTTTTATTTCACAACCTATTAAAGTACTCTTATAATACATTATAATACATTATTTGCCTTCAGCATTCAATATTGAAAACAAATAAAAGCAAAATAAACCTGTAGCCAATACTACGTATCACTGAGTTTGGCATAGACAATAAAGTTTAGCCGCGGCGGGCACTCCATGTCACTCGCTCGTCTTTTTGCGGACAGCAGATCGACTATCGATTGTTACCCCATGTTTCTCTAACAGTTATACGTGTGTAGTTTCCTCCTAGGTTTTGAATTTGAGCTTCAATATAACGATTTGTGGGTTTTGTCATTACTGTTATTAACATACTAAAAAGTTTATGGCGGCCTTCATTTCTTAAATAGCATCAAACATATCGTGGTGTCATCTACAGCAGTACAGCTACTATATCCTCTTACGAGGCTGCAAATTAATTAATTTAAATAATATATTAACGTTAGTGGAATTCACGAATGTAGTTAAGATCAGGATGGCTTTTAGCAGATAGATGTTGAACGTAGCATTTCGGTATTAAAGAAGGCGAATAACGTAAGATTATTTATTGATACGATGAGACGGGCGAAAGGACAAAGCCATGTTGGCCAATATCCTTGTATCCAGTCCGTCCGTACCCTGATTTTAAAGTTGACAGTTTAAGTTGTCTAATACCAATGTCGAATGTCCTCAAATATTCTTTGGTTTTGTTGTTTAAAATTTATTAGTTAAAAAATAGAAGTATAATAGAATAAAGACTAGAAGTCTTTAATTCACTAGTGAATAATCATTCGAATGCATTACACATGTGTGTATGTTTGTATTTTTAATGTAAGATATATATAAAAGACACAAATAACATTCTTGTATTGAATTGTAATAATAAGAAGCTAACTTATAATTGTGTAAATGTATTGGGTTGGGGTTGATATCAATGCGATGGAATTTGATGATACTGATTATGCAGGAGTCTCGGGGACCCTTGATTGGAACACCTCCAAGTGATTTTAGCTTTAGGATAAGCGTCAAAGTATTTTTAAAAAATTTTTTTTACTTTTGTCAATTGTATTGAAATTATAAACAATCCGCCATTATCTAACTACTTTTCTATTGGTTATAAGAGATGTGACTTTCTCGATTTCTATTGGTTATAAGTGATGTGTCATTGTCGTTTTCTATTGGTTATAAGTGATGTGACATTTTCGGTAAATTAATTGGATTGATTATTTTCTCATTTGTTATTTTTAAAGTTGAACCTAATCGAATCGATTATTTTCTCATTTGTTAATTTTATAGTTGAACCTAATTTAAGCATTACTTGTCAAATGTACATACATTACATTAACTTCATGTTTTAATTAATGTATGGTTCCGAAAATTATTCAAATAGTACCCAAAACCGAATCAGAGCAGCCCACTATCCACGTGGTCTTGTCTGCCTTACCCCTAGAGTGTATATAAATAATCGGAGGCGCGGAGGAATAGCGCCCCCCCCTGTAACAACACTGGATTATGAAACTGTATGTTGAAAAAGGGGGGGGGCAAAAAAACGGGGGGTGGGGGAGGCTTGAAAAAAATGCCTGTGCTTTGGTACGCAAGGGTGGAGGGGCTGCATTTCCCGTAGCGCCGGAGCTGTCCACAAAAACAAATATTATTTAGATTGGTAAGGTTAGAGTTAGTATATGAATATTTGGTCGCCGAAGGCGACCAGGACGCCGAGAAGCCGAGGCTTCAATAAACAATTACTATTTAGATCGGAGCTGTCCACAAAAAAAAATATTATTTAGATTGGTTAGGTTAGAGTTAGTATATGAATATTTGGTCGCCGAAGGCGACCAGGACGCCGAGAAGCCGAGGCTTCAATAAACAATTACTATTTAGATCGGAACTGTCCACAAAAACAAATATTATTTAGATTGGTTAGGTTAGAGTTAGTATATGAATATTTGGTCGCCGAAGGCGACCAGGACGCCGAGAAGCCGAGGCTTCAATAAACAATTACTATTTAGATCGGAGCTGTCCACAAAAAAAAAATATTATTTAGATTGGTTAGGTTAGAGTTAGTATATGAATATTTGGTCGCCGAAGGCGACCAGGACGCCGAGAAGCCGAGGCTTCAATAAACAGTTACTATTTAGATCGGAGCTGTCCACAAAAACAAATATTATTTAGATTGGTTACGTTATATAAATATTAATATACTAACCGTATATTAATATTTTTTTTAAATAACTGTTCAACTGAAACTCAAATCGAATACAAAATCGGATTTAAAATCGGATTTATATCGAATACTAAAATCGATTTTCACTTTCACAGAATAGATTATTTTTCACATCTCTATTCATTTTATAAAGTATAAACGCATTACGCAATCGGCCATTTCGAATGTGGATTTTGCCAGAACAGTGTGTCACAGTGATCAAGTGCAAAATATCAGTTAAAAGCCGTTACTTTTTAGGTTTTTTTATTTTTGCTTGAATGTGCGTTATTTTATTAACAATTTTTTAAAACTTGGCTTTATATACATACTAGACAGACAGAGCAGTTAAGCGATTTTTTAAGAAAGATAATTATAATTTTAATAATACCGAAAATTTCACTGATCATTTATACGAATACCTATGGCGGCGAAACAATAAGAAATATAAAAAAGACCCCTTTTCGGAGCTACTTATAGCAATTAAATATATCTATAAATTAAAATAACACTTTACTATACTCTTATTTTGCTATATTGCTTATTATGCTATACTGCTTATTTTGCTATTTTATTTTGCTTACATATGTTAATTTATTTTTTCATTCACTGCTGCTGAAGAGCTGCTGAAGTGGATAGAAGCCTACTGGCTGCTACCACGACCCGGCTCTACATGCACTATGGATTGGGCCCTAGTGGTTTTAGTGGGTATGGGGTCATCGCATTTTACGACCTTGACCCCCACACTCCCCGCGCCATTCACA